AAAAAAAAAAAAAAAAAAAAAAAGAAAGAAAGAAAAAGAAAAAAAAGAAACAAACTTCTGACAATTGCCAGTTCTGCCAATAACCCACGACTATATTGGGTTATTTTCCTAAATTCAAGTACCTACAATATTTGAACTGGCATCAAGTATGAAAAGGTCATTTAAAGACTTCTCCAAATACAGCTTCTCTAACAACAATGGCACTCCCACTCTGACAAAACAAGACAAAAAAGGGGGATATAAATAAAGGACCACTTGTAGAGAAAAAATATATATGTATATACAAAATAGGATCGATATACAGCTACCTTCTCTTAGTTCAATAAGAAAGGTTTGTACTAATATTGTTTACACAACATGTCATGTCTGTATCTTGTCCTCTGCATAACTATTACAAAGACAATAATATGCAATGTATTAATTATTGTAACTGTTCTACTAACCTGTTTTGAAACTTTCATTGCTATTTTTCTCATTCAAATAAACATTTTAAAAAATTAAAAGAATAGAAAAAAATTAAGTGAAAGCTTTTTTTTTAACCATTTAGTATGTTCACTGTTGGTTTGTTGTATGGCTTTTATCAGGTTGAGATAAAGACTATCTATTCCAATGTTTTGTAGGGTTTTGTTGTAGTCAGGGTTTACAAGGGAATGGATTTAATATGACACATAATTTATGGGAATATTTTTATATTACCCAACAAGTGAAATGTAAAAGTGTGGAAGATCTATCCACACACTAGAGAATCAAAGAATCCACCTGAGGGGCCTGCATTTCATGGCAGTGTCCTACATGAATCCAGCTGAAGACCTAGAGCCCATGGCAGTGCCCATGAATCTAAATGGAGACCTAGAGCCAATGACAAAGTCTCATACAAGTCTCTATGAAGGATCTGCACTGGGAAAGCCCAAAGGTCAGTGGTGGAAGCTAAAAGGTCTAAACTAGCAGGATGAAGAATCTGTGCCAGTAGGCTGAGGTACCTGCACTGGAGATAGGAAGCAATTCTCAAGATAAGGACCAGAGCTCCCCAAAATACAGCTGTAACCATCCTCAGCAACATCAAGGTTCCAAGCTTCTCCAATGATGAGAACAGCTGAGGAAATATCAGGAAAGCCAGAGAGACAAGTTTCTCCAGGAGAATCAACAGCACACTCTCTCTTCTAGTTATTTTATACTGTTTGGAAAAATCCTTAGATGGGCCCTCCACACACAGCACCACAGTGATTCAGTTCAGCTGGGTGCTACAAGTTGACCACCAATTGTCAATCCACCACAGGTTTTTATCATGAATGGGTACTGGACTTTGACAAATGTTTTTTTCTGCGTGATTATATAGTTTTTGTCCTTGGCTCTGTTAGTCAGGCTCCTTTGGCCTCCTCAGCAAGGCTTCAGCTTTGCCTCTGAGAACTATAAAATTTGATCATAATATCATCCATCCACCTTTCACACTGAGAAACTTGAGAAACACTATCTGGATTCTCCACTTTGGGAGAATGGACTTTTGGAAGTTTCTAACAGTACAGAAGTCTTAATTTGCTTGTTTATAAAATGAAGACAACAAATGGCCTTAGTTGAAGGGAAGGTAAGGAAATGTGATAAAAAATAAAATATATCACGTACAGGTACAAATTCCCTATGATGAATGTGATCGTTATGTATAGCCAAGTTGTACCAATAAACTTAATTTTTAAAAAAAGAAAAAGAAGATGACCTTGCAGAATTGGTTATGCACATTTGTAATCCTAACACTCATGGAAGTTGAGGTATGGTGATCCCAAATTCAAGCCCAGTCTGGGCAAGTTAGTGACTCAGGCAACTCTGTCTCAAAATAAAAAAATAAAAAGGGTTGCTAACTTTTGAGTCTACACTGAAGTCACGAGCCTGGAACACTGTCCTTGACTCATCCACAAAATTCCTGCCAAGCCCAGTGCTTTCATTTTCTCCCCTTTCCCCCCTCCCAGAGTCTCATTGTGTATGCGACAACACTTCCTGCTCTTTCCTGAAAAGCCCTTGCTACAACCTATCCCTGACCTCTCCTTCATCCTGAGCTTGTTCCAGGCAGTACAGGTGTCAGCCTTGCATACATCAAAACTACCAGTGCACTAACTGGAGGCCTCTGCCTGGTACAGATACAAAGTTCCTTCTCTCTATGCACTCTGCAGTGACCCCAGCCCACCTCTCTGATTGATCCCAATGAAAACCATCAGCTTTGGGAGAGGCCTTTTGTTCCAGAGAACACTGGGTTATCCCAGAGCTCCTCACCTGCAGAACTTTTCTTTTGCAACCCTGTGACATACTGCTGGAAAGGTTAATTGATACTCTTTATCAGTTACTTGGCCCTTGAACTCATGGTGATCCTCCTGCCTCAGCCTCCCAAGTACTGGGATTGTAAGTGTCTGCAACCACACTCAGTGGTCTTTCACTTCCTAAACTATCAGCAACCTCATGGGAAAAAGTCTGTCTTGGTGTCTCTATCTAGCAAAGGTGGCAATAAGTACTTTTAATTCTATATAAATATGCAAGTTTGTCAAATCCTGAAGCTCAAATTTTGCTGGTACGTTCGAAGTCATGAGTTGAGTGATCCAAAATTCTTGCCGGACATTATGGCACGGGGCAATAATCCCTGCACTCTGAAGGCTGAGGCAGGAAGATTGCCACAAGTTTGAGGACAGCCTGGGCTTCATAGTGAGTTCAAGGCCGGACTGAACTACATAGCAAGACCCTGTCTCAAATAAACTAAAAAACAGTAACGTTACAAAAGATGTATTTGTGTATTAGGTGTAAGAGTATGGGTTGCTAGAAACATACTTAGCTTCACTATATGTCTTTTTTTTTTTTTGAGACAGGTTCTTGCTATGCAGTTCTGGTTGGCCTTGTACACACTTTTATAGCTCCCATGCTGGTCTTGAACTCGCAGAGATCCTCCTGTTTCAACCTCCTGAGTGCTGGGATTACAGGCATGCACCACCATGCCTGGTTCCCAGATTAGCATGGCATTGCTGGAGTTCCAGGGCAGGAATGGCATGGGGAGCCAGGGATCAAACTTGGGAACTTGCCCTTGCCAGGTAGGTGCTTATGCCTCTGAACTATCTTCCCAGCCCCTATAGGGTCATTTTTATTCTTCCAAATACATCTATCAAGATTTGGCTGGGATGGGCACTGGAAATGAATACACACTTCTCAGATGAAGAAATACAAATGGCAGATAAATATATGGAAAAATGTTCAACATCACTGGTTATTTGAGAGAGGCAAATTACAATACTGAGATCCCACGTCATTCCAAAAGAATGGCTATCATCAAGAAATCAACCAATAACATGCTTAGGAGACTGAGGCAGGAGGATCACTTTGACTTTGAGGCCAGCCTGGATTACAAAGTGAGTCCAAAACCAGCCTGAACAGATAAAAACGATGTGCATTTTTATACAATCAAGTATTACTCAGCTATAAAGAAAAATAAACTTGAGGCTTTTATAAATAAGTAGATGCACTTATGAGTGTGACAGTGCATAAGTGAAATAAATCAAGACGTGTAAATATCTATTTGCTCCCTAGTGTAAGAAACTGAAAGAGTAAATAAAATCTAAAAGGTATAATAGATATAGTGGAAGGGAAACTACTCAAAAGGAAAGAACAATTGGGATTGAACATAACAATATACAATGTAACACCCACTGTTAATTTCTTATCATTTTGTTTTGAAATTCTGTATTTTTTTTTCTCTTTCAAATAAATTTTTAGCATAATAGATTTGGCTGGAAATTTTTAAGTCGAAGTGTGTATGAAATCACTTCCATTAAAACAAAACTCACCATGAATACGTTACATTGAGAAGAAAAAGCAACAAGCAAAACCCAAATAATTATAATCATGTTCCCTTAAATTAACAGCTCAGATAATGATCTCTGCTTTGTTTCGAGACAGGGTCTAAGTAGTCCAGGCTGTCTCTCCAACTATGTAGCCCACAGAGATCCTCTTGCCTCAGCTTACCGAGTGCTGGGATTACAGGTATGCACTACTACCCCCAGCAATGACCACTTTGAATCTGAAACTGTATAAATTTCTTAGTCTAGGACTGGGAATATAGCTTGGTGGTACAGCACCCATTTGGCCTAAATTCAATTCCCAGTGCTCCCCCAAAAAGTCTGTTCTAAAGATTTCTTAGTTTAATGTGACATCTGAGTGCTCCGTTTTAGTGGCTTACCCTGATTCTTTGAGGAAAGGAGGGCTGTTTTGTGTGCCTGCTGTGAACCTGTGATCTAAGTTCCACTTAAGTGTAGCTGAACAGCACTTATTCCCAACTTCCCTCCTAGGTTTTGCCCACCTTTCTGAACCCAACACTCAATCCATCAAGCACTATAGGAACACAGCAAGATCTTTCACACTTTCTGCTATCATTCTCCCAATGTGCTTCTAAGGAATGACGTAGAAAAGCTTGAAGACTGTCCCACCCCAGAACCGTCCTCATGAACCAAGACCACACTGGCAGCCCTCCCTCCACACACTGCCAAGGCCCAGTATCCTCACATACTATCCCCTCTTCACACACACACACAATGTCCACTACCTCAGCAGTTTCTTCACACAGTTGCTTTACAAATATTGAATAAGTCAGGAATAGTGATGCATGACTATACCTCCAGCTACTTGGGAGACTGTGGCAGGAGGATCTCAAGTGTGAGCCCAATCTGGGCAAGTTGACAGGACCTGTCTCAAAATAAATGAAAAGGCTTGCAATGTAGCTCAGTGGTTGAGCACCTTTTTGTTACTGAGTACTGCACCCAGTGCTGCACTTCTGAAGTTACAATTAACCCAATCACTCCACACTTGAAACTAAAAAAAAAAAAAAAAAAAAAAAAAAAAAAAAAAATTACAAAAAAGATATTTTAGGGCTGGGGAGATGGCTCAGTGGAATAAGCACTTCCCTGGCAAGCGCAAGGGCCTGACTTCAATCCCCAGTTCAACACACACACAAAAAAGATGTTTTATTTTTCATAAATATATTTGGAGCAAGGTTCTCAACCCAATCCCAACTCATTATCTCCTATATCTGTTAATGTTTTCTAAATAAAAACTATGTTGTTACTGCTCTTACCTGAGTCAGTAAAGAGGATAAGAATGGTAGGCCATTATCATTCTAGTTGGAAATAAAGGCCACTCCTGGGACCAAGATCATGGGATTTTTAGAGGACCTCATTGGATAAGAGACAGGCAACCAAAAGTCATACAAATGGAAAAGGCGTCTGCAGCAGTCACAATCACACTAGTATGAATAAAGTGCCCAGACAGACACTTATAGAGGTTGAGCAAGAGGGACATGGGAGTCCCACAAAACTTCTATGTCTGAGTCCTCATCAAAGACTCCTGGTCTGACAGACAATGTCCGCCTGCAAAGTCAGTCTGACTCTAGCATAAGGTACACAGCAAGTAGGACAAGGCCAGATGGAAGGGGCCTTCCTGCCCCTCAGGAGTCCTTCACCAGTGATGGCTTCTCTGTGTTCTCTGATGGTGCTGGGGCTCCAAAGATCCTGGCAAGGAGCCCTCGGTTGGAGCGGGCCTGGTCCTGAGCAGCAGCCAGGCGAGCCCGTTCACGCCCTCCAGGCCGTGCTGCTTTCCGGGCTCTTAGCTCTTGCTCTGTGGGACGCTGGGCAAATGTCCAGGTACTGTCTGGGCGGGCAGGGTCCCCATCAGTAGCAAGGAAGCGTTGTCCCCGCTCCACACTCTGAAGATAGAAGTCAGTCTCACGCTTGGCCTGGGCAACCTCAGCTCTGAGACGCTGCCTGCGTACCTGGCGCTCAAAGGCAAGGTGTTCACTGAGGTGGGACCAAGTAAAACGGTGCAAATACTGTGGGCACAAAAAGAAAAGTTCAGGATGGGGTGGACGGAAGAGGGAGAAGAAATGGGGGTAGGCAGGAATGAGGCCAGGAAAAGCTCACTGGGATGGGAAGAAGATTAGAAGTGTGGCAGACATGCCTGACTCCTTACCTTCAGGTTCCACAGGTCATAGCGGAAGGGGCTGCGCCTGCGGGCACCCATGGGTGTGTTGTGCAGACTCAAAGCCACTCGCTTGGCTATGCGCTTATCCCGGAACTCCACCCAGCCCTCAGTATAGTCCTTGCTGTACTTCGATCCTTTCTTTCCTCCTGAGGTTGCTGCTGCCTTCTTCTTGCGCTTCACAAACCTGTCTGCATACCAAAGACAAAGTCATAGGGGAGGCCAAAGCAGCACTCCGGAGACTCACTCCTGGTTCAGAATCTGCTGCCCTGCACAGTACCTCCCAGTGCTGACCCAGACAGACAAACTGAGACTGCCTTCACCTATCAATTTCTTAATTGGTTTCTGTGAATACTATTTAAAATCCACATCAGGAACTATGTTAGAGGCAAACTATGGGGTGAGTGCTGAGACTGCTGGGTGTGAGGAGGGAAACATGATTCTGACAGTCACCAGCCCAGGCCATTGAAGACGGCAAATTGGAAGAAATGTAAGAGGAAGTATGGCTTAAGAAGAAAAGAAGACAAAGAAATGTGGACAAAGATCCTGTGAAGAAAGATGTAGAAAAAACTAAGAAGAGGCAAGGCTGCCCTCCAGCTGAGAAGCTGTCACCAAATCCCCCCAAACTGACAAAACAGATGAAACACTATCATTGATACTGTGATCAACTACAAAGATAGTTCAGGTGGCAGCTCAGTGAATCTTCATTCAGTTACCTTCCAGGAAAGAATTACCAGAATAACATGAATTAGGAAGCCAGTGGATTTCAAAAAGATAAAGGAAAGAATCCGTAATCATAAGTACCGGAGCCTGGGCAACCTGGAGAAAGATGTCATGCTTCCGTGTCACAATGCTCAGACATTCAACTTGGAGGTATCCCAGATCTACGAAGACTCCATCATCTTACAGTCGGTGTTTAAAAGTGCATTGCAGAAAATTGCCAAAGAGGAAGAAAGTGAGGAGGAAAGCAATGAGGAAGAGGAAGAAGAAGAAGAAGATGAAGAGGGGTCTGAGTCTGGGTCAAAATCTGTTAAGGTGAAAATCAAGCTCAATAAGAGAGATGAGAAAAGCCAAGACAAAGGAAAAGGCAAGAAAAGGCCAAATCGAGGGAAAGCAAAGCCAGTGGTGACTTTGACAGCAATGAAGAGCAGGATGAAAACAACCAGTCAGAAGCAAGTGGGACTGATGATGAGTGATCCCCATGGAACTGAGTATTTTTCTTCCCCTCTCCCATTTCTACCCAGTGGCTTCATGTGTCCTGTGGGTGCTGGGTTCTTTCTGTGTCCTCCTCCTCATCTTATAAACTAGCTTTAGAATAGTGCCAGACAAACATATGCTATCATGGTGTAAAAAACAAAGTTTGTAAAATATTGTGACCAAATGGGCCTCAAAGATTCAAAGATTAAAACAAACAAACTTTTGATGGAAAATGTGGGTAAATAGTGTATTTCTATGGGTGGGTCTAATTTGGTAAAGGTTTGTGCCTGGTTTTATCACATGTTTGGATGAGATTTTTGTTTTTTGTAGCACTAGTAACCAGAAGCCATTAAAAGCCACTAGTTATTTTATTTTTCATCAGGCAATTTTCAAGATTTTTATTTGTTCGGTATTATTTTTTTACATTGTGGTACACATAAGCAACTTTAATAGGTGATAAATGTACAGTAGATTTCACCTACACATACATTTTTCCACTTTATGCTCTATGATCTGAAAAATGCTTTTTAAATTGTGTAAAATTTGTCTACTGTAAACACTGCTTAATTTTGTTTGCTCTTGGTTTTAAAAAAAATTCTGTTGAAAACGCTATTGAATATTGTGATCTATATAGTGTACTGGATGACTTCTTTTTTTTTTTTTTTTTTTTTTTTGTTCCTCGAATGCCTTCAGGGCACTTTTGGCCAGCTGGAGAGGTGTGAGGTTCGAACTCCAGCAACCTGAGGCTGACAGCTTTGTGGAAGCAGCCACTTAAAGACCTGAGCTAGGGCCAGGCCCCCTGGATGACTTCTTTCATCCACCTGATTTCCTATGTCACCAATGTTTATTGTCTCCATCTCCCTAAAGTATACTTAATCTTTGCTTTCTTTGCACAATGTCTTTGGTTGCAAGTCATAAGCCTGAGGCAAATAAAATTCCAGTAATTTTGAAGAATGTGGTGTTGGTGCTTTCCTAATAAACATAATTTTGCTCCAAAATAAATAAATAAATAAATAAATCCACACCAACTCCAAACACCAATTTCAATTAGCATGTTAAGGGGGTGGGGGTGCTAATGATGTTTCTTGCTCTGTTGCCACTGTGCAAAAGGGATGTGTTCAGTTTTTTTAACAGAGGTGTGTTGTGGATACTTTTAAACTGCTGTTAAATTTTCTTTCTTACAAAGTAGTACTAACATGAATGGCTTAAAAAAGAAAAATAAATGGGCCAGCCAAATAGCTCAGCAGATTAAAGCACCTGCAAGCAGGCACAGGGGCCAGTCATGCCACTGTATCATCCCCTGGGCACACTGAGATGGCAGTTGAGACTGGGTGTGGTGGTGGGCGCCTGTAATCCCAGCTCTTGGGAGGCTGTAAACAGGTGGATCACTGAGTCCAATCTAGTAGTGAGACCATGAACACCCTGTAGATCCCTCCCTAAAACAAGAAAAATATTCTGGAATCTATGTAGCAAGAATACCAGCACTGGAACTGAGGACAGGGGATTCTGCCTCTGGGCTAGGCTAGAAAATCTTGAAAATGTTATTTTTACCTGTAACACTAGTTTTGATGACTTAAGGTGACAACTGTAACTTTTTTTATAAGTAAATGGGATTTAGTGCTTTTATACTCATTCCTTACATTTAAAAATATGAAAGCTTGGGGGCTGGGGAGATGGCTCAGTGGAATAAGCACTTCCCTGGCAAGTTCAAGTGCCTGAGTTCAATCTCCGGTTCCGCAAAAAAAAAAAAGAAAGAAAGCTTAAGAAACTATGTGAACTTAAAACCAGTAGTTTAGAACTAAAGGCCTGTAGTAACAAAACAACTATGCTCAAAAATGAAAAGTTAAAAAAAAAAAAAAAAGTGAAAAGTAGTGCAGTATGTACCTATGTACCTAGTTAGTAGTCTCAGCATTTTGAATATACCTGTACTACATTTCTACATTTTTAATACAACTACTTCCACATTAAGTTTAATGGTGACAAATTTGTGCTGCTTGTAGTGGAGGAAGCACACCTGACTTTACTGTTTTACTCTTGCCCATAGAAAAATGTGCAACACGGAAATATATACAGTCTTGATAGTTTGGGTTTCTAAACTACTAAAATATGTCATCCTTTTGCCTAACAAATCATAAAACCTGTGATGAATGGGGGTATAGTTTAAAGCTTTCATCGTGTTATATTTTAAGACACTAATAATTTTATATTTGGGGAATTTTTAAATTTTATTTAACTGGAATCACTGCCCTGGTGTAAACACTATGTAGCACACCTGTATTAAAAAAAAAATGCTAGTTTTCACACTTAATAAAAGAAATGCCCTTGAAATTTGCATTCAGGTTGTACTCATTTAGCACAGCGAAGAGGTCGGGAGAAGCGGGCGGAGCCAGGATTAGAACCTACGAGCTATCGGAGAAGTAAAACACCACCAGCAGAGCAGCCAAGCATCCCGTTTCCCCGCGCCCCGCCGCAGCCCTCCGCCATCCAGGCAGCAGAACGAGTGCCACCCTCCCTGCCTCGCAACCAGGGCTCCGCACTGACCTTCAGCCTGAAAGAACACGCGCCCGACCTCCCCGTAGGCGCTGAGGAGGTTGCGTACGTGTAAGGGTCGGAAGCGCGGTGGGACGTGGCCCAGGTACACGATACCCGGCACCACGCGCTTCCTGCTGCCGCGAGCCGCTTCTTCGGGCTCTTCTTGCTCCTCCTCAGCCTCTGACTTCTCGTCTGTTACTTCCACCGGATCCTGTTCCACCGCTGCCTCTAAGCCACCGGCCGACATGCTGGCTGAGACGTGGAGCACGACAGGCCGTAAAGCGGCCGGTGCGGGTGACGCAAACTACGTGCGACGCCTGCGACGTGGGGGCGTGGCCGGCGCGTAACGAACTCGGAAGAGCTGAGCCAAGAGCCGCGGAGGGGTAGACCTACGGTTTAACATTTCTCTCTGCCACAGCAGGGAGGCTAGGGCTGGCGGGGAAGCAGGCTTCCCCAGGCATTTGCAGAACCGGGTTTTGGCTGCTTCTAAAGTTTGCAAATATCCATATTTTAAGTTTGGGCTTGACAGTTTCAAATTGTTTTAAAAGTTTAATACAGGGTTTCTTTTTTTAATTTAGGCGTTTTCAATATGTGCTGTTTAACGCTGCAAATTTAATTTCGAATATTTAATTGGAGTTTATTTTTGAAATGTGAAGTTTTGACCTTTTAACAGTACTCTGCTGAGCTGGACTTCTTGACTATCTTAAAAGTGTAAGTGCGTGACAGTTGTGTGAAGATCTTGTACTCTGGTGTCCGGTTCGCGCGGGTCGCCGCGCGGCCCGTGTGCTGTTCCCCGGCCTCGCCCGCGCTGCCTGCTCCACCCTCGGACCCCCGCAGCTCGGTGCCCCCGCTTCTCCGCCCACACCCTGCGCACAGCTCGGCGGCCGCAAGCCCCCCGACGCGGCCCGGACGCCGCACCGAGGGTCGCCGCACACGCGGCCGGGAACCATTCAGAAGATCCTGGCTGCGTTCTGGAGCCCGCGCCGAGCCTGATGGGGGTGCCCAGGATTACAGGCGAGGTGAGGCGGTGGCACAGACCCGGGTGTGCTCGGGTTCCTTGGAAAAGGAACAGGAACGTCTAGGGTCTAATAACCAGACCCCGAGTTCTCGCTTGCCTGTTTCATTAACCCTATCAAAGAGACCCCTCTGCTGGTGGTCTGATCAGACCTTGCTCCACTGAACTCCGACATCTGCAAAATGTGGAAAAAGCGAAAGAGCCTGAGGCCGTGGCCTCGGGCTTGAGATTGAGGGCAGATGGAGCGGCGTGCCGGTCAGATATATCCGCACTGTGGCACCTGTGGCACTGTGTTCTCTATTATGGTTGTGTTTGAAGTTACTAGGAGTCTTAAGAAAAAAAACTAAGTCTTGTACAAAGTGTCTGTCTCTGCACGTAACCTGCTCCCCTCGTCTCAGTGAAAAGTAAACATTCCTTCACCGACTGTCAGTGTGAGGAGAACTTTGTCCCCTGCTTGTACACACAGAGTGAAGATCACTAAGTTTGTGGCCTAAATCTTGAGCCCTACAATCATTACCCCTTACCGTATTAAGATTAGTTCTGTTTTGAGTAAGCCCTCAGGGTCTAAGAGCCTTTCAAAATATAACTCCTTCGAGCCGGATTCGAACCAGCGACCTAAGGATATCCACAGACTAACACCTACAGTCCTCCGCTCTACCAACTGAGCTATCGAAGGAAGTGGTGGCCTCTTGGACACTTTAAATATTTAGGCAATGTTTTTTTTTTTTAATTTTTAAGTTGTATTCCTGTTAAGTAAACAGAGAAGCATGAGGAAACTTATTTGAATATTATGATATCTAAAACTGATCTGAGCAGTGATTATACACACATACGAAGAGTTGTTCTCTTAAATGTTTAAGACTTATACCTTTTACTGTACATTTCACATAAAATCCAGCTCCAGTGTTCTGTGTACTGCTTCCTTAGGTATAACACCAATGGGTCCATCAACCTTTTGTGCTTGTCGTCCTGGTGTGTGGTCTACTTCACACCTCTCTATGGAAGATGCATGCTAAACATAGACAACTGAATTGTAGATGACCGGATTTCCCATCTTTAATCGGAAAGATTAAATTTGGGAAATATTGCAGTTCTTTCTGAAGTACAAGGAAAAGTAGGACTAGGCACAAGTGTACTAGACACAATAGAGGTGTTTTATGTGCACACACTTAGGTATTAAGTAGCTTACATTACATTGCACAACTATAGTGAGGTGAGAGAAATAAATGAAACATACCTACACCTCAAATCTTAAAAGAAACTTAAGTGTTTCATTTATGGATGTGCAGCTGTGCTTTTCCACCAAGGGTTTGTGGTGGTGGTCAGTTTCTGGGCACCCAGAACAAATGAATCTAAAGGGGAAACCCAGAAGTCATGTGGCAAGACTTTCTGGAGGTTATAAAATTTTTATTGTATGAATTATTAAGTTTATGGAAAAGATTTCTGGTGAATTATCTAAAAGGCTCATCCTTTACTAAAATTAAGGTGCTCAGTATCTACAATCTTAGAAAAAATAAAAATGTCTTCAAAAGATCCTGTCCAATGAGTCCCATAAGAAATCAATGCAACAAAGCTAATAGTTACTTTGGTCACTCAGCTCCTTCTCATGAGAAACTAAGACTGTCTGGGAAGGGCCTTTCCAATGACCCGTCCTAATTTGCTGTTGCTGTATGAAGTGGCAGTCCCATTTGTTCTGCACATTGCTGAATCTTGGATGGCACATTGAAAACAGCTGAGCTGCCCTCTCCCTGTAATCCACAAACTATTGGTTTGTACAGGCTCTCAAAGGCTTTGCTAATTTTAGGTGTCAGCATTGGGGCCTATATATATATATATATATATTCCCTTTTGGCCTCTCCTCATCCAGATGCTTCTGGCCTGTGGAGCTTTTTTCCCCTGTCATTTGTTGCCATTTGGTGTTCTATACAACTTACCTTTTAAGCCTGGGACTTCTGTTCCACTCTGAAAGAGTAACTGGATGACGTGTATCTCTGGGTTGCAGTCACTGCGAGGCATCTAGGACAGTGCTTCCTAGGGGCACTAATGACCACTTATTGAGTGAATAAACTACATTCTTAAAGTAGACAGTGCTGTAATGGATGCACACACCCAGTAAATGGTCTGGGAAGGAGAAAGAAGAACAGGTATTGAACACCACCTACACCTCCAACTGCAGGGTCTTACCAGGATTGGGGAATGGAAATAAATAATTTGGAAATCTCCATCCTCAGAAAATTCAAAGGGAAAATTCTTGGGAAACGAGAGACAGTCCCGCCAGTATCCCCATTCAAATACTCTAGACTGTATTTTTCATTTAAATAAGGAAAAATGAAGTCCTGCGCGGTGTGCCTCAGAATACAAATCCTCGGAGCAGTGCAGAGCGGCGGGTGAGGCGCTGTAAACTCTCGCGGTGTTCGCGTGTGACCGCGCCTTCCAGCCACCGCCTCTCCTGTCTTCCCACCGAGCCAAGCGAACTTTTGTTGTCTTCTTGACCACATTGTATAATTTTGTCATCTTCATCGGCGTCTCTGTTACCCCAAACACTAATCGCCCTGCGGGTCTGGGGGGCGGGGCCGTGCGGGCGGGCGCGGCCAGGCGGCCACCCGGCTCCTCCCAGCCCAGCCTTCCCGCCGCCCGAACCCCCCGACCCCACCGCCTTCGGGACGAGCCCCACACCCCCGGAGCCCTCACCGCCCCCAACTCCTCCCTCAGGCCCACATTGCTATCACCCAATTGTTCACCCCGACTCCACCCCGCGTCCGCACTAAGCTACCCGGAAGCACCGAAGCGAGGGGCCGGCGTGGGTCCAACGGTCGCTGGACTCCGCACGGCAGGTGCCCGCCCCCAGGAACCTCAGCGCGAGCCTCGGCGTTCCCTGTCAACCTCGAGGGAGAGGGACACAGCGCCTCACTGTCCTGTCCTCCTGGCTGCACGAGTGAATGCTGTCACCCTTTGTTCCTTAGTTCACTCTGACCTCTTCTAAAACTCAACATTAGCAAGCAAGCGAGGTGGCAGCCTGGTTAATGTAAAAGTCAGCTGGAGTGGGGTATTCGGTGTACATGGTGTTCAGGGGACGGGGGATGGTTGGTGGCTTTATTGGGGGATACGTACCTCCTGGTTTAGCTTTGGGACATACTTGAAGTGCACTCTCTTAAAATTATTTTGAAAGTTCCAAGGTAGTTGAGAATTCCATGCTGCCTACCCTACCCTCCAATAAAGCACAGCACGGTTGGATAGGAGAAGGGGTGGGGTGAAACAGCGCGGTCCACAGTAGCAGGGAAGCAAAAATGGAGTGGGTAAGGGGGAGCCGGCAGGGACCGCGGGAGGGAAGGCAGGAGGGTGCCTTGAGGTGCGAATTGCACAAGAAAAGGGGGTGGGGAGGGACACCTCTGTAGCTCTGTTTCCCAGTCACTCAACTGCTGTTCTCTGAGTCAAGCACGGTTTTGGTTTCCAGACAAATTTCACATCTATAAAATAAGACGGGGAGGCTTTCTCTTCCAAGTTCTATAAATTGCAGCTTGGCTGGCGTTGCATGTCCAGATTCCTGAAGGGGCCGACGTTCTTGTTCTTGAAAAAGGATACTGGTCAAAAGATCACCTTCCTTCGAGCCGGATTCGAACCAGCGACCTAAGGATGCCTGATATGAATCAACTACAGTCCTCCGCTCTACCAACTGAGCTATCGAAGGGGGTATGGAGGTTACCTTTTAGGATGTCTAAAGTAAGATATATCATGAAGGTTTTTGTTTTGATTATATTTAAGGTGTATATATTTTAAAAACACTCCATTCTGAAAATATTCTACATGGCCTTGGTAGTTGATTTCACAGGGTTACAGGCAAGCGCTTATTCTACTGAGCTATTTCCCCAGCCCACCTTATAGGGTTACAAATATGAAATTTTTACTGGATTACACATTTAAGATCTTAAGAAATCCATATATATATATATATATATTCCCTTGTCCCTTGTTTTAATATATAGCTAGACAGAATGGGCTGCAATTTCCCTGAATGTCCTGTTTGATGACCGCCTTTCTCTCCTGGAAGTGCCTGGGTTTGCTCCACAAGAGCTGTTTGCCCTGCCTATGGGTAGGGTTGTGAACAGAGTTGTGTCCACTGCATCTTGGTGCCAGTGCAGCTGTGCTTTCTGAAAACCACCTGAAACACCAGCTAGCTTGACAACTGGTAAAACTTTAATGTGGAGTTCAAGAGATTCATGATCTTTGTGTACCTCTGTGGAAACCTAA